TTTGGTGTCTTTTCGCGTAAACATACGTTTATGTAAACTTACATCCAATAGGAAAGCTAGCATTCTGGGCAAAACTGCAATGCTTCACCCACATGTATATCCCCCCCTCCCCAAACACCCCTGGTTGTCAAGAAAAGACAACTTTAAATATTTAAGAGTGCACCTGTTTGTACACTCAACAGGGGATGCCTAATGTTTTTGACACATTCAAGAAGAATTTAAGGTGCATCTGCTGGTAAAAAATTAATTGCATGGACCCTTTAAGTAATAATAATAATTTTCTTTGAAGACTGTAAAGACAGTACGTGAATTTGAATGGAAATTGGTGACTCCATGTAGGGTGAAGAAAATATTAATGATTGGTTATGCATTTGGCAAAGAAGGGCAGATCTAGGGGACTAAGGAATTCCAAGAGCCATAAGTTGTTTTTTAAATAAATAATGAAAACTTTGGGTCTTTTTGATTTCCCTTCCATGGAGAAGCATTCTGTATGTAAAAAGCCTAGAAAGGCCATTAAAATTGACATTAAAAGTTTCACATTTGTAGACTCCAAATAAGGCCCCCCGTAAAAATTGGTTCTGGATCTGTCCTTGTTGGCCAATAATCATTTAGGCAAGACTGCTTGGAGCAGAAGTAGTTAGCACTCCTATATTTTATACCATTTGTTCCCCATCGATTTAGTAAGACGAAGTTGTGCAATACATTGGACGTTCTGTTCTAGTTTGCTGCATAGGCAAGAATGCTTGATCTGAAAGGGTGTAGTGGTCACAGATTGCAGAAATCTTTGAGCATGCACACTGTACATATCTTCATGAAAATCTTTAAGGTCAAGCCATTAAGATGACACTATTCTGTACTCATGTGGACATCAGATAAAGGTTTTTAGATGATCACCAGTAATAAAAGTTACTAATGCACGTCATTGAATTTTAAAGTTAAAGGTCTTCATCACTCAATCCATCGATATTTGACTTAACAGTTGCATTCCGGTGAATATTGTCCCCATATAGTGCATGTAGGGTCGATCGCGTAACAAACATACATGTACATGTACATGAGCATGTAACCAACGGTGTTTTGGGTTGAATTTACATGTACATATATATGTGCAATACTTGCATGGTACTGAGCAGACACCCTATTGTCTTTGGTGGTTGATCTTCAGATATTTCTTGATTTGTAATTTAGCTGAATTGATAAATCCTGCACCGTGATGAATCTTCAATTATTTACCGGTATCATGGGTAACTTATTGTTGTCAGAGGTTGACAACACCATACATACAAGAGCAAACTCTGAACCGGTTACTCTCATGCCAATTCTGCTGAAAAGATGCATTATCTGAATTCCCTCAGCTAGTCGTCAGTGATTTCAGTCTGTGTTGGGCAGAGTTGTCCGATTTAAGTCACCTTGATTTAAATCACTGATTTCAATCACAATTTAAATCAAATGATTTTTTTAAATCACTGATTTAAATCAACATATTTATGTTTTTAGTCAAAAAAGCATAACTGTTTCATTTTTGGAATTTTTGTTTACTGATTAGAAATTTTTGCAGGTTTTGCACAGTTTGAACAGCAAATCTAACATCTGTGAGGCTTCTAGTATGAATGCACATAGGTTACACAAAATCTGGGTTGGCAAGACTTTTATGTTCAATTCTGTCCACTTGTTTTGATTTAAATCAGCTTTTTGAATCCATCAGTGAGTGCATTTAATTTGATTTATAATCATGATTTAATTTTACTTCATTTAAATTGCCCACTTCAGAGTCTAACCATAGAGAAAGGACTAGAAGGAGTTACATGTAGAAATCTGGCACTTCAAAGTGCTTGATGAGCATGGCGGCCCAGTCAGACACACAATAGTAAACATTCCAAAAATGACTGATTACTGCCTGCAGGTTTAGCCGGAAAAGTGGGCCCAGCAATCCTAGCAATATTTTGTGTGTTTTGTTTGCAGTTACATGTAACTACAACGTATCGCAGTAGCCAGGAAATAAAACACAGGGCCGATTTTTTTCCTGTCAATGCTCAAAGAGCGTCATACGTTGATCATGTAGTTTCACTGCACTGGGCTTAATTTTTACGCTTATTGCACCAAGGTGCTCTTTTCGAGATCACTTTGTTATAACCACAAAAATTTGACACCCCTAACACAATGAAACGACTCAGACAGCTGTCTACAGCTCAGAAACACATAAGAGAGACTGACCATTGATATAAGACAGGCCCAGGCTTGACCAGGCACCTTCTTTATCAGTAATCCCTTATCAGCACGTGGCTTAGATATTTACATACTGGTACAATCCCCATGGGACTTCGCTGGAGGCAGGCTCTGGAAAAGAATTACTCAGCTCAGGGGAAGTCCCCATGTTAAAGGTGACTAAACTAGGCTGTTCAGCATCTACAGAGGTACAAATTAACAGGATATTTTTGCATTTGGCCGATTTTTTTTAATTATGTAATAAATTAGAAAAAAGTGGATCCCCAGTGTAGCACCTCCTCTCTACGCTGGGTTAAATTTGATGTTGTTTTCAGGTCATACCAAGCACCATCGATGGCATAAATATTCAACTTCCTATACTGCAGTGTATAATGTTTTAAGGATGCAAATTACCAGCGAAAACTTGTGGCGATGATCATAGGGTACAAAGGGGGCTTATGGTTGTGAAACAGTGGTGCATAGCAAGCATTCCCTGCGTTCTGGCTATGGACATACCAGGCATGCCAGAAAGCGGTAATTGGCCAGATGTTATAGCCCAGACAGTTCAAACTGCTTCTGTGTCTTACCTCCATGGTTTAGCATGGTAAAATATCATCAGTGTACATCGACTTTTTACATCTATACAAGTGTACTTGTATTTTATTGAGATTAGAAAGGTAATTAGTCGTCATAGAGCAACTTGAAACCACTAAATTCTTGCCCTTAATAAAGTGATTTTTAATCAAGCCTAAGTCATTGCTCTGTGGAGCTGGATGACAAACAAAGTGATACTGCTTTTAGCTCAAAGAGCAAGGTAAATACTAGCAATGCCTACGTATACACTGTAGGTACATGTAGCATGCAAAATAAATGCATGTACCTGTTGTTAATGGCATGGAGTGTTTCTCACTCATTAATCATTTGATACATGTGTAAATAAGTATCCTGCTGTATTTACAAATTCTTGTGAACTCTACTTTTGTCAGAACTTAAGAGTTCGGTATAAAACCTGGTATGCACGTAGATGTATGTGCATGTACATTGTACATGTACTTGTCTCTGAAGGAAGTGTCTTTACTGCGGGTGCATGTGTATACGCACGTCGTTACACAGCTATACTTGCGGGGTATTTCCTTTGTTCTCGTGTATAAAACTCCCACACAACACGCAAAAAATTTCAAATCACTCCAATTTAAACCAAATTCACTTTCCTGGGTTGAAATTTCGACCGTAAGTGCGTTATATAAAACACTTCAATTTGCGACAAATTTTTACCCATCAAAAATTTCCCCTTTTTGAGTTATTTCCAAATATCAGTTTTGTGAAATTGTGGTACCCCATAAAAACTGGCCTTGTGGGGTACTTCCCATTGTTCCGGTACCCCACAAGGCCCCATGAATAAGTGCATGCGTACTGGTAGGTGTTATTCTGCACTTCCCTGCACAGTGTCATGAAGGAACACAGAAAAATTGAGTTATCCTTTGTTCTTCTTCTGATGACTGCCATGCTCTTATCTCTCATGCATTTCACCAAGGCTAAGACAATGTGGTTTGTGATTTTAATCAAATTACTTTATTTCTTTTTCTTAATTTAGATCCAAATTCGTTTATTTTTGTCACAAAACAAATAAATAAAAGAAAACTATTACAGATGCAGCTAATTTGCTTGTTTTTGAATAGACTTTTGAGCTAACATATCTCAATTTTTTATAAAAATAAAAAAATCTGATTTAATTGAAAAAAATCTGATTTACATAATAAAGTCATTTTTTTTAATTGAAACAACAACCCTGGTCACTTGCATGCTCTAACTTGAGGGTAAAGGTCACTGTGTACATAAATCATATCAGATGATACTTGTAAATAGCGCTATTACTTCATGCTTCGCTTTTTCTGAAATTGGCAAATTGAAATTACGGTTTCTCTGCGGAATTTGAAAATCCATGTAATTGGACTTAAGTTCCAGAATTTATTACAGGAAGATAGTAGTAGTATGCATTCAATTTGTGAAAAACTAATAAAAAAATCAATGAATCAGGTCATGATGACATCGCAAGGTTTTCCAACATATGGATATCTTATAGATCTACTGGAGGTCTAGCAAAAAGACTTTTGAAATTTTGTGCAAAATTTCAAGCCACTGGGACAAATGGTTCCAGAGATACATGTATACAAGCCCCAAAAGAATTTGCTTTGAAGCTGTTTTTTAGTTATACAATTACTGTTTGTCAAAGATGTTTTGCAGCATCTTTTGTAACAAATGCTTTTACTGTGTATAAACTTTAGACTTGCTTGTAGTAAATTATTTGTGTTCTTTTTCTGCTTAGTTTAAGTCTTAGTTTTACCTGCGATTGGTGTGCAGTGCTACTCTAGTTTTAAAAAAAGGCTAACTGCATTGGTTAGTACAGGTTCTGATTTATTAGTAATACCGGCATTGGATATATTGTTGTTCGACTTGGGATTTGTTTTGATTTAGCATGTATTTTAATATAAAACATTTCTTTAAAATAGGTTGAATTTATATTGTTATGGGATGAAGGCATGTATTGCTAACGGAAACAACTATTTAGATTGCAATTTGTGA